TGAATCTCTCCCAAAACTAATAAAATGCCATCCTTCTCTGTGAAAATTCATGATGTGGCGTTTTAAAGCATTTGTACAGTGAATAAGGAATGACTTTTAAAAAGCTCTTTTTGTAGTGTAGACCAATCCGGTATAGAGTGTGATTTCAGAATATTGAGCTGCTACTTAGCTTTATCCTTCTGTGAACGGGGGAAAAACTTCAGCTTAGCCAACTCAAAATTATCTTGGAAGGTCCCGCATACCTCCTTGAATTCCTTCATGTGAAGATAAGAATTTTCGAAATCGAGGCTATGAAATTGTGGCAAAAATTGGAGTGCCAGGTTTCACCGTGAATCTTTGTGCATTTTGTGGAAAGACAAAACAAGAAAAGACACTGCTCCTTGTGAGGTGCAGGTAATCCCTAAGAGTTCTGACCTGTTGGTCTCTTAAACACAATTAGGATTATTCGCGTTATCTCTCATATTATTGCCTGTTCAACTAAATCCTAGAGATTCTTTGAATGATTATTCAATATCAAAACCCGAAGTTTCCACACTAGACAAACAACTAAGAACTAAATGATTGTGAATTAAACTAAACTAACAATTAAAAATTAAATAACAAGAATCAAACAGAATTAAAAACTAACACTATTTAAATGGGAATCTAAAAGATGGAACGAGGTTACACAAAAAATCAAGTTCTCCAAATAGCTCGTTGTGACCGCGGATTCCTCTTCGCGGCTTTCGTATCCTTTTAACACCCCGGCAATGGCACCGAAAACTTGTTGACTCCAAATAGGTACACCCAAGTGCAGATGGTCAAGAAATAGAATAACTCGATAAGACCGAGGTCGATCCTTACGGAAATGAATTAGATGTAAGGGAAAGTGAAAAGAAGGAACAATTTATCTTGATTGTAGAATGAGCAATTGTAACTAATTGCAAAGAAATTCTTATGTATGAAAAGAGATTCTCTAGTAACAGGATCATGAACTAGTCATGTGTATTGAATATAATACTAATGCAATTATCTGCTATCTCAATTGACTTCTAACGTCAATGTAATCAACTAGAGGATATAACTATTAAAGAAAGATTTGATTAATATGAAAATATGAATTTAAGAACTAGCAATATAAACTCGCAGGGAATTTCTAAGAATTATTCAGTTGCTGAATAACCAAACAAGTATATAGATTATATTACTTTGATTAGAAATATTTATTTAATCGGATAATAAAAATGATAAATCATTCAAGAACAATAAACAAATAATAGCATTAATAATAACATTAAATACATAATCTAAGAACCCTACCCTAACTAGAGAGTACAAAGAAAACTACTCACAGGCCATGGAAGTAAACTTCAAAAATTTTAAGAAAAGAAGATCAGCCAAAGAAGAACTAAAGGTAGAATAATCTGAATACAACCGACTCTTTTCCTATTTATGCTTTTCAATAAAAATAATAAAAAATAATATAAGATCACTAATTAAGGCTTGCTAGGGTAAATTGAATGGCGCACATTCCAACACATGCTTTCGGACACAAGATTCGCGCTCGGACGCTAGTCTTTCAGCTTGGGGTCTTCACTTCAATCAATCAATCAATTTAGTTTGAACGTTGTTACATCCAAATAAAGGTACACTGTATCGTCAAATCCTATCTGCATGCATCCCCACATCCAAACACCTTAAATTCTCTTGAATTCCATCCTCAACAAGTGCGTCTGGATGGAGCTCTTACGTTTGGATGGAGCATCATGTATTGTCACCAACACTTAGCCAAAATTTCAAACTTGTTCAGTATCCGCATATGCGTTCGGATGCACGATCCATGTCCCATACGCAACTAGCTATCCAGGACTAGCCCCTAATATCCAATTTTGACCTTGTTGACTTTTTTTCTATAATTACACTTTGATCGTTCCCCCTTGATTTCCTTATATGCTTCAGTTGCCTAGTTGATTTACCAAATCCTTCAATTCGGCTCAATTTACCTATTTTACTTGATAAAATATCCAAACATTGAAAATCAATCAAATCATAAAACCAAAGGATTATTCAATTAATAACTCAGAATCAGTGCAATTTTGACATCAATAATAGATAAATAAATGACACCTTTAATAACAATTGTTGTTCCGGGAGGGGGGATAAATGATGTGAATCTTCTCTCATGATTATACACATGGAATGCACGACACTAACTAAAGGGGGTGCATAATTTTTTTGTTTTTAAGCAAAATCGATTATAAATTAAAACTTAACTCTACCTCAATTACTTCTTCACACAAAAATATACTAGTTTAGTGTGAGAACCCTTTTTAATCACCACGACCCAATGAACCTATGAAGATTTGTGTTAATTAATTCACTCAAATACTCAATCTTACGGCGATCCCAAAACTCAAAACCCAATTACAACTATGATTGATTTATATTTCAAGTATTCAAAATATCAAACACACAGTGTGCGTGTGTGCTAACAATTACAAGTGTATAAACACAAGTAATAAAGAATACTAGTGATTTGTTGACGCGGAAACGCTCATAAAAAAAAACCATTAGGAACATCTACTGGTTCACCAAAACTTAATCCACTACCCCAAACTCAACATACAAGGATTCGAGTCTTATACCTCGACTAATAACATGGTTAGATGCTCCCTTCCTTCAATATGTCTCTCCGTCGAAGTGCCTCTCCGACGTTATGTGTAGCTTCATTTTGATTCACTTCTGTAAAGGATCCTCTAGGCCTCTAGCAATTATGGGCATGCCAACAATTATTGGTATACATATACTAATGGGTTTGGTTTACATCATTCAAGATCTTCACTTTAAGTTGTGAGGTTGGGTAGAATCTCTAGAAGGTAGCCTTGGGTCTTAGGGATCTGTAGGTTGTAGTGGAGGCTCTTTAGGTAGAAGATAAGTTTTTACTCGGAAAGACTTACAAGAGATTTACCCTATCTGAAGAAAAGACTCTCTTTACTTATAGGTCCGGAATAATGGTAATCTTGGTCAACAAGAAAATTCGGATTCGCGAACGACCACTCGATTAGTGGGAGAGTGGTGGTCACGAGAATGAAAATTTCATTTCAAACTTGGCCAAGGAGAGTAGACCGATTGAGCGACAATGAGACTGCTCAAGTGAGCTTAGAGAGTGAGCCTTGATCTTCTCAGTAGTATTTTTCCCTTGTTCTTCCCTAAGTCATAAACAGACTACTCTAGCGAATGCTAAAGAGCATAATACCGTCCCTGTTGATTTTTTAAGTCTAAAACCAAGCAAAAAACTTGGCCTCTTGAACACTAAAAAGTATTGCTCAACAGGGATTTGCTAATGTCTCAAACTGTGTTTTCAAAATACAAATAGTTTAGAAAACCTTTTCATTTTAAGAACACCCAAGAGTCATACAAGGATTAATCTCTAATTTTATTTTAACTATAATCCTCCTAAATCTATTAAATTAAGGAATCATCTTAGGTATCTTTGATGCTTGAAGGTACAACCAGAGTGTGAATGATGTAGTTTTGATGCTTGATCTCCTCCTTTTAATTACACGTTCACATCTTCAAATTTTATATAATCACGACCATGAAATAGGTTGAGATTTACAATGGATTTCACTAAATTAACCAATTTCAAACATATATCTAACAAATTAGTTTGACCTTGGTTAGCATAAAAAAGTATAGATTGATTGAGGTTTTCAAGTTTGGGGGAAATTTTTTTTGGGCATTATTTTGAGCCATTGGATTGAATGAATCTCAGCTACTCTTGTGGTAGACTAACTTTAGGATTCGAATCCAAAATTAAGATTAAAATTTAACGAGTCTTCTTTAGAATCCTACAATCAAAAATCAAATTGGTCCGCATCCGTAATAAAGAGAAGAAAAATATATGAGAGAAAAGACTTAGTTGGGCCTTGGTTAGCTTAAAAAGGAATAAACTTATTGGAGTTTTCAAGTTTGTGGGAAAAAATTTTTGGCAATGATTTTTAGCTAATGAATTGAATAAATCTCAACCACTCTTGTAGTATATTTACTTAAAGATTCAAAATCAGTTCTATCTTATTAGTATAAATAGATATAGATTTATTGAATTTTGAATTATTTAATTAATCAACATTCAATCAATTCTCACAGCCTAGACAATTAAGTTATATGAATACTTGGAAGCACCACCACTAATTGCATATTATTCTTCAGCCACATAACTAACTTATTTCAGTTATTTTGAGTCACATTTACGCAAACTACTCCTAAAATTTCTATATAGATACACACTACGTTTGTGACTCTATTTTATCTCGTTTTAATTACCATAACTTTTCAAACTGTTTTAAATTTAAATTTCTCATCATTTTTCTTAATTATTTTACATTTAATAAATAAATTTTACACATTAATATAAACTAACTTATTTCAGTTATTTTGAGTCACATTTACTCAAACTACTCCTAAAATTTCTATATAGATACACACTACATTTGTGACTATTTTATCTCGTTTTAATTACCATAACTTTTCAAACTGTTTTAAATTTAAATTTCTCATCATTTTTCTTAATTATTTTACATTTAATATATAAATTTTACACATTAATATATTAATTTTTAATAATATTAAGATGAGACAATAGACGGATGATCATGAGATAAGTGTATGACCCCCACAGTCAAGTCTTAAGCCAAATGCACCTCGGTGAAATGTAACACGTGAAAATTTTACATTATTTGGGGGGTAAAGACATGTCGCTAAACAGGTTTATACAACTCCTATGTCAGAAAAGCTACGTCATTCATGATATTGTTGAGTACAGGAAATCCTTAAACCCCTGCAATTCTGAGTGAGAATCATTCGAAGCCTCTTTCCATTTTAGCAGACGTACAAATGTAATGTCTCCTCGAAGACTTTTGTTCTTTTCTTCATCCTTCGTATTAAGTCATGGTCACTGCGGTCCAACTCTATCATATTACCGTTGGATTTTCACGACAACCCAACATAATGGCTCATGGATGGACAAGATCAAAGGTGTCATCACTGGCCAAAAGGCCGCCACTCCTGAATCCACCACTTCCTCTAAGTCCTTCACCCTCCTCCGTAAGTCCCCATCTCACCTCCCCTTCATTTTAGCTCACCATTCCATATATATATTACTACGTGTGTGTATTTGCTCATAATTTGTATGTTTTGGGTGGTTATTTTGAAAAGGTCTGTTGATGAGTTGAGCAAAACAAGAAAGGTAGGGACTTTTAAGCAGTACATTGTGGGCCGAAGCAATGAAGTGACATTTGCCGATGCCTTTGAGAAGCTGGAGGCCATTATTAGGTATCTTGGAGGTTTTGATCCTACTGGAGAGGTTAGTTTTCTAATTCTTTTGCAACATTTCTATTGCAGTGTGCGTGTGTGTATTTGTGATTGAACATGTACTTGCACTCTATTGATGAGTCGGCCAATTGGTTAACCATAGACACACTAGCAGAACCCAAAATCGTTTTCCCTTTTTTTTTTTAATTTTGAAATCATTACCAATTATCCAGAACAAGGTCGATGCTTAATTTAATCCTTTTGAATTATCGTCAATTGAAGACTTATCCTTCTTTAATTGGCGTGCATTGCTATTTTTTCTACTTTTACTTGAACCTTGATTTAGGTCTCAAGTGTGCTTAATTCACTGTGCAACTCCAAAGTGCTTGATGATCATAATAACTACACAACCCATGAGGATTGTTGGTTGAACTATTTATTTTGATTTTTGTTTTGAACTGCTGAAGTTTTACCTACTTTGTTCATATTAAGTTATTTTATGATACTTTCACGAATAACTCCCATATTTCTTCTTGTTATAAAGCCAAATGTTTACTCACTTTGTCACCCTGAAACTTAGGACATAGGCGTTTTGCTTGATAATTTCATTGAGCTTATTGTCTGTGAGTGTTAGCTGAAGAAAGTTTTTCTTTCAAATTGTTTCCTGGGTTCACTTCATCTGATTTTGGTTTCTTGTTGATGTAGAATCTGCAAACTACTCATAAGCAAGAAGCAGCAAAGCATTGTAATTGCACAATAGTTGATGTTGAGAATTCCTTGGCAAAATTTACATGGGCTAAAGAAGCTCAAAAGAAAATCGAGAAGTTGAAAGGAGAGGGGAAGCCAATGCCAAAGAGCATGGCTGAGGTATTTTTCCTTCTGCAATTAAATAATGTTTTCTTGTTGCTGACTTCCGATATGGATTTTTGGTTTATATTTTGTACTTACATGACAATTGTTATTTAAATTGTCAGTGGTATCCATGTGGGCGACTTTTATTTTGGACTTTCGGTTAGCACAAGTGCATGGCATAATGCAATGAATTAAACTATGTTATTGGTCATAGAAAGTTTTAACTTTGTTGATGTAATTGTTTTTGATTTTGGCTAGGTTAGAATATGTGACATGTATGTCAACGTGTATACACACAGGGTGTCTTGTGTTTGTTTGGATTGGTGGTCTACCTATGCATTCCTAGTTAAGGAATTTGAACTTTCTTGTACCATCAGAATGAGTTTTTGCTCTTAGATACATGGTTTATCATTATGCAGCATTACTGGAAATTGTCTGCATATATTTGTACTTGATTCTTTCCAATAATCAATGCTTGGATAACCCAAGCATGAAATCATCTGTGATATTTTAGAATGGTTAGTTTTTCATTGTTTAACCTTAAATTCGATCCTCTTTTAGGATGCTTTACACATCGACATTCTTGAAAGAGTTCAAAATTTTGTTTCAAAATCTAGAGATAGCCGCACACCATAAAAAGATTAAAGAACTAAAGAAAATGTGAAGGCTAATGAGGTTTTGTATGGGTATTGTAAATATGCAATTTTAAGTTTTCAAAACTTTGATTGGATCTGTTAATATGATCAGCCAAGTCCATGGTGATCAGATATTTTACAGTTAAGGAAGGAAAAGATCTTCAAAATAGATTTGGGATGTGTTTAAAGAAAAGATTTCATAGAGACAAAGGACAAAAAAAAAGTGGGCTAAAGATGTGGTTAATAACTCGAAGCAGTTCCATAAAGTAGCAAACGTGAGAAGGAAGAAGTATCTCATTACATAGTTAGAAGTTGGAGATTGAATAGTTTGAGAGGATAAAAGGTGGATTGGAGAAGAGATTTCTCTGTTTTTTTTTAAATTGTTATATTTGGATGATGATCTTGTGAGGCCGAGGGTTATGGGATTAGATTGGAGTCTTATTAGTGATGGGAGAGCATGTTGACTGAAGAGATTGTTTGAAGAGAACAAGACAAGACTAACTGTTTTTGCGTGTAATAGGGAAAAGTCGTAGGGATCAGATGGTTTTTCCATGGCGGGATTTCAATAGTGTTGGTAGATTATCAAGGTCAATTTGATGAAGGTGTTTGTGGATTTCTTTATTAGTGGTGTGTTGAATGTAAATGCCAATGCAAAATACATTTTTTTTATCTCAAAAAATCATAATATTTGGAATGTAAGTGATTTCTAGCCAATTAGTTTAGTGATTAATCTTCACAAAATTTTGACAAAGGTTTTCTTGAGAAGGTTTACAGAGGTTTTGGGGGATTCTATTTCTAGATACCAAGGTTCCTTGGTTAGAGGGAGGAGAATCACTCACATTGTGTTAGTAGAAAACAAATGATCATGTTAGTGGGACTTTTTGGATTTTGTTTTATACGATAAGGAATATAGAAGTGGATGGAGGAGATGGATTAAAGGGTGTCTAGCGCTAGTGAACTTTTCATTGATCTTTTATAGCAATCGTGTGAGAGAATTAATGCTACTTGGGGTCTTAAGTTGGGGGATCTATTGTCCTCGTTTTTTTCCGCATTAGTTGCGGATGCGCTTACTCAGTTACTAGATAGGGCAAGGAAAGTTAAAATTTTAGAGTGTTTTTGGTTGAGCAGGGATCATGTAGAGGTCTCACATCTACATTTTGGTGATGATTCTCTCTTTTTTTATTGTATAGTGATGAGGTGAAAGTTCAAAATTTGGTAGTATTGAGATTTTTAGCTTGATGTTGAGGTTGAAAAGTAATATGTTTGAGTATCTAATGGTAGGCATAAATATTTAAGAAAGTTAGATAGGATTCGTGTACGGTAGGTTGAGGTTGCGGAGGTGCCCTCGAAGACCTTGGGGCTACTTTTGGAGGGGGGAATCCTTTATTAGTGTGTTTTTGGAACCAATAAAGGGTTTGAAAGCGATCGGAGGGCAAGAAAATGGCTTGTCTATGAAGGGGACTCATTTTAGTAAAATTGGTTTTGGCTAGCATCCTTTTTTTTTTTTCTCTTTTTGAGTTTGTTAGGTTATTGTTTTTAGAATTGAGAAATTGCTGAAAGATTTTTTGTGGGAAGGAAGTGGGGAAGGGTAAAAAGATTATCTTGCTAGGTGGGAGGTGGTTGCTAGATCTAAACTCAAGGGAGGACTTGAGGGTGGGAAATATTTGAAGAGAAACATTGCTTATTATGTAAAGGTATGTTTATGGAGGCTTCCAATTGAACAAGGTGCTTTGTGGCTTCATGTTTTCAAAAGCAAATATGGACTTCATTCCAACGGTTGGGACTTGATGTGAGGGTTGGGGGTTGTTTTTGCTATCCTTGGAAATTTATTTCCCACAATGTAAATGGTTTCTTGGGGTATGTTAGATTAGGTGATGGAAATGGTGAGAGAATTTGGTTTTGGAAAGATAGATGGGTGGGTGATTGCACTTTTGCTTTGTCTTTTCCCCCACTTTTTTGGTTGTCTTAGTCTCGAGATATTTCCATTGCTAGTATGCATTGTACTTCTTCATCTCAAGGGGAGGAACTTTAGTTTCTTCAGAGCCTCGAAGACCAGGAAGTTTGAAATTTCGTCTTTGTTGTCTTTACTTCACTCGGTTTCCTTAATGTTAAGGGTGGGGATGGAAAAGTGTGGACCCTTGATTTTTTTAGTGTCTTTTCTTGTGAGTTCTACTTCAATATCTTTATTGATGTGTCTTACCCAATTTTTAAACTTCATGAGATGATTTGGAAGGCAAAAGTGCCTCTTAAAGTTTAGGTTTTGGCTTGGATTGTAGGTGTTGGAAAGCATCATACTTGTAAAAGAGAAGACCAACTTCAGACCAACTTCTTGTCTTTCTCCTCAAAGGTGTAACTACGTAAAAGTTTTAGTGAAAGTGTGGATTATATATTCCTCCATTGTCAAGTGGCCTTAAAACTATGATATAGACCTTATAGTGAGTTTAGTTTAGGTTTAGTTATTCCAAGTGGATGTGTTTTTTGATGAGAAACATAATTTTCAGTAAAAAATGAAAGATCACAATATAGTGGACAAGAATTCACCCAAAGGGGAAAAAAAGATAGAAATATGCTGTAATCCAATCAATATGAATGGAAAAAATGACACATGCTCAAACTCAGAGTTATTTAAGGAGTAAAGTGAACCAAAGCGTTCAGGTCTCTTAAGGCCTAGGCGTCAGGCGAGAAGCGAAGTGAAAGTTTCATCGAAGTGAGGAGAACAATACAAAAATCAAGCAAATACATTTGTTTAGTTATTACTAAGTATCAAGTTCTAATTTCTCAAGTACTAAGTATTCAAATGCAATCGAAAGCATAGACATTTAAGTTGAATATCTCAAATCTTAATGTCAACCAAAACATTAATATTTAAATTTTTTTTAAAATGCCAAAAATATACCAAATCCTTACATTTGAAGCAAAAGAACCAAAATCAAATATCAAAAGAGGAACAAACACCTTAAGCAAAAGTAGTTCTTCACCAACGGTGTATCATTGTGCGACCAAAACCAGAGCTCTAGCAAAAGTAGAGCTTGAGCTTCATCTTAGAAACAGAATAAGAGGATGAGAAAAAGAAGCGGAAGAGGATAAGAAGTACACACATCCGGTCTCTGTATTGTAGTGACTCGTTTTTTGGAAGAGAAGAAAAATAAGAGGCTGGTTTATTGAGTTCCAGTCTCTAGGTTGTAGATCTTTTTTCTAAAAGTTGCAGTGAATCATTTGTAAAGAAGAAGATTTGGGGGAGGAGGAGGAGAAGAAGAATGGGAACAAGAAAAAACCTAGGTGAATTTGGTCCTTAGGTCGCGACTTCAGCCCTCTTAATTCTCAATCAATTTTGTTGTAGAAATTTTAGGGTTAGACGTATGTATGGATCAAGTGGCAATCAACTGCAATGGCATGTCCAATTTTTTTATCCCATTGATAAAATGTTACAGCCCCTAATGGACCCAAAAATCTAAATAAAATGTTTACTAATGCATCCTCTTTTGTGCTATGCGTTTGCCTTGGACGCTTCAGGAATAGGGACACTCCAGGCGACATGGGCTTGCCAAAGCTTGCTTCTCATCTAGGCGATTGCCTTGCTCTTTAGCAGCCACCGTCCAAAGGGAAGCCAACAACTTTGGTTGGTCCCATAGAAACACCACATGTTCTTTCTTATCATCAAAGATTCTTCTATGCCCTTCCATCCATACTACCCAAAGAATTGTCATAACCACACATTCCCGCAAGATAGAAGCTCTACTTCCCTTCCCAAAAACATCATGATTAGTCTCGAACAAGATACACAATCTCTTGGAAAAATCCAGCTCAAACTAAAGTATCCAGTTGATTTATATCATAAATTCAACACCATTGGACAATGGATAAAGAGTTGATCCACACTTTTGCAACTTTTTATATGGATTACACAACAATGGGAGGAAAGACAAGTAGTCAGTCTTCTCCTTTGCAACAAATCACAAGTATAAATCTTGTCATCAGTCCAAGCGAAAACTTGTATCTCAACGGACACTTCAGCTTTCCAAATCATCACGATGTCCAAAAGGCAAAGAAGAAGGATCATTAATAAGCACATAAAAAAAAGATTTTATGTCTATGTCTAACGAGGAAGGAGCAACAGAAGCCAGTAATCTTGTCTAATCATCTGAGCAAAATTACGGTTTGTGAGCTGTATTTATGGGATAAGAAGATAATTGTGTATGGGCATCTTATAATTTTTTTTTCTAATTGTCCAATCTAACGGTCCATAATAAAAATAAAACAATCCAAGACAACTTTGCCTCACATGACTAAGGCGTTCGCTTTTTTCGCTTTTTTCATGCTTCAGTCACATTTGCTTCGCCTAGGGTACTCAAGGCGAGATACCCTCTCTTCGCTTATCGCCTAGGTGCTCGCCTAGGTGAGCTTTTCAAAACACTGGGTCATCCCTTGTACCATTACCTCTTCCCTTACCGTCAGATATTCCGTTGCCTACTGTGTAACTATCTATTTCTTCATTTCATGTATACTCTCGTCATTCTCAACCATTAACTGAGGTGCCTAATCATCTTCCTTATCGTCTCCTGATTCTAGTTCCTTAGGTAATTCTGACTTTTTATCTATTATTCTTCAGAAGTACTTGCTCATGTGTTACTAGCCCTCCCATTACTCATTTTGTTTCATATGATACCCTGTCTCCTGTCTCCTCTTGTTTTATCTTGCAACTGTCTATTATCTCTATTCCTATGCACTTACATGATGCATTGTCTGATCCGAATTGGAGGAAAGCTATGAAAGTGGAGGTGGATGCCTTACATCATAATGGGACTTGAGATCTTGTTCCTTTAACACCTGAGAAATAGACTGTTAGGTGTCGTTGGGTGTATACTGTTAAATTTAATCCATATGGTTCTGTGAAGTATCTCAATGTCTGTCTTGTTGTTAAGGGCTTTACTCAGTCCTATGGTGTTGATTATGAGACTTTCTCTCCCGTTGCCAAAATCTCTTATGTTCGTATATTAATTT